ACGCTGGTTGGAGAGCGAGGCTACATTAATTCCGATGTCGGTTTAATCAACGAGCCAAGAAATCGAAGAGATCTTAGCTCCCAAAGATAAGATCCCTTCCCCGCGTGTTAACGTGTTCGATCGACGTGTTGCCGGCCGTTAAATATCGACGATTTCAGCGTGCTCGTTAAGGCACTCGCCGATACGCGACGCCTTAATAAGCGGCGTTCCTCGCCACCACGACTTCGAGAACAACTTCATCCACCATTTTTCCCATTTCGATCCGCACCTCTGGGATTTATATTTCTCTATTTTCCAGTTCGACGATTTTCCAGACAACCTGTCTCCACGCAGCGAGACCCTCGCGTATTTCAGAGTGTTTGAACCGGCAAATAAGTGTACGTTCCGGACGACATTTCCTTCTTTTAAAGGATCTCGAATTTGTTGAGTGGATTTCAAAAATTGAACTTTTTAACTTGCTTTCTCCAATCCGTCGCTCGATCGAATATTTCCATCTTAAGGGTTAATCCCTCCCGGCTCTTTCCATTTATTCGGTATGTTTTTCGAGTTTTAAAACGATTCGAAGAATAGTCGAAAACTTTTTTAACGCGTAAATCTTGTTGATACGAAAATATCGATTCTGAGGGATCTCGTCTACGACGAGAAAATCGTGCCTCCTTCGAATTACGTTTCGACGTTTGCAAAAAGCACACAAGCGAGATATTCCACACTTTTTATCTAAAGGATAACTCCTTTTTCTCTTCGAGGAACGATCCAAATGTCTATATCCCGCCCACGGCGGGGGGGGGGGGGAATGGTCGAAGCGGTTTGAAAGACAGGAAATAGATTTCGATCGATCCCCGGCGTATATCCATAAATCGCGGCGAGGTGGCTGGCTCGTTGCAAAAACAATCGGCGCGAAAGACAAGGGGATGACGTAATCGGGCGTAACGTAATCGGGCGTAACATTTGCCAGGCTACGTTACGCGTTCCTTTTCGCGGATCGTTTGAAAAAATAATTGCGCCAGGATTCGCCATAGGCGCGAGTATCGTTTATTTGGAGACCAGTGGCCGCCACCCACGCTGGATGATGACCGTGGATGATTTCCGTCGATTACGAGATCTCCTCAAATATTATCGGATGATCTCCATCTCGATATTTACCTCGCGCACGCGTTATCCTGTTTAATTTATTATTTATTTATCGGAAGAGATCCATCGCGGTCCATCCGTTGTCGAGGAAATTGTTTCGATTTATTTTCTTTAAAAATGATCATCTCCGAATCACGAACGAATTTTCGGGTCGAAATATTATATAAATTATCGAATCTTCGATTACAATTTATCGATCATCTGCTCGACAAGCTCGATAATTCTTCCAATCGCAATCGTTCGAGACCGATTCGATCGCGTGAAATTCTCAATATCGAAACGTAAGATGATGTAACGGCCGGTTGCAATGAAAATAATCACGAAGCACGAGCGATCCGTTTGGACTTCTCCTCCCAGTCCAAGTTTTCCAATCGACAAATTTATCCATCCTCAAAAATTTTCGAACGCGATTCACGCCAAACGTGTGTTTTATTAAAAAAATAATTTGAATTTTAATTCTCGCTAAAAGTCTGATAACCATGACGAAGGAATAGAACGAGCCACTACACCGTATTCAGTCTATCAGAACAATCCACACAATGCTTCCACTCCACTTATCTATCCTCGAACTCCTCTCTCAACTTAATCCACCACTCGTGTCCAATTTTAATCTCCAAACACCCTGTTGTATCTCGCGTGATTACGCAACAGTTAACAGCCATTCAACTGATTTCGCGAACGAAACGAGGCGACACACCTTGCGCGTGATAACGACGTATCGCGATATTAACCTGATATTTTAACTGGTATTTTCGTGTTGGCAGAAAATACGAGCAATGCTGGTGGATCATAATAAAAAGTAACGTTTCGCGTGATTGTCTCGCTTCGATTCGAAGCTGTGCCGATACGATAACGCAAGGAGAACAAATTGCGAAATTGAAATTCGGCCATTTCTGTTCCGGATTTGTTGTTATTTTTAATCTCGCCTTTGGACGAAATCCATTTTACTCTTTGTTAAATGGAACATAGAGGAATTTGTGAATATTTTTATATCGGTATTTGCAAGTTTCGTTAAGATAATTCGTCGATCAAGGGAAATTATATTAATTCTGTTCTGTATCGTGAAGCTATCGAAGGAATTACGATCTCTGAATAAAAAAAATCAATCTCAATCGTAATTACACAATTGAAATAAGCAAGGTATGGAAATTTTCGCAGAATCTTTATCTGGCATGAAAATAAAAAAGAAAAAGAAGAAATTATCACTAATTATCATCGGTATATCAAATTCTTTGAAAAGTCTCATCAAGATAAGGCAAGCAAGATTTCAAAAAAGATTGATAAACGCTATTCCAGATAAAACAAGAAAATACTTGTTAAATAAAATTGTGTAAAATACTTCACTTGTAAAAGCACAAGTTCTTCGCGTTATTATATTATATTTTTTATTCAACGACGAGAAGCGCTCGACCCGTTTCCAATGGGTTACCACGTTTTCAGACAACGTTTTCCAACAATTTCCTCGAACTGGCCAATTGGAAATCGACGAAGAAACATCCGTGCCTCGGATACCTCCTCCCGCTGTTCCGCTCTTTCCTCGTAACCGGCAAGAAAACTCGCGAACAATCGATTCCACGGAACGGATCGAGCGATCGATACGGGCGGGAGCGCGAAACACGGGATGCTTCTCGATGCAACGAGTTTACAAAGTAAACAAGAATCGATGCACGTGCGCCGGAGAGCACTCTCTGCTAGGCTGTGCCGGTCACTTTCATTCTTGCAGTCAATATATCGCGCGATCGGAATTTTTATATCCGCGTGTAATATATAAATTCGTGTTTAAGGGGGATAAATTTTTGCTCGCAATTCTCGATTTTCGTTCAATTCGTTCCTTTTAGCCTTATATTCGAATCAAGTGTCTTTTCACCGTGTACATTTTTAAAAGAATTTAATATAACGAATACTTCTTATAGCGTCCAAATGAAAAAGAACAGTCTAGTTAATAAGTTCCAAGTCAAAGGATCATCACGAATGACGATCCATCATATTTTCCTTTCATTTTCTCCGTCTTATCCTTTGACAAATTCTCAAATTCAACTGGATCATCCTTACTCAAGTATAAAATTTTCCCAAGCGTGGAGTAGGCAGAGAAAATTCAAGCGAACACGGGGAGTCGAGATATGTTATAACATCGCTGTGGCGAAACATCTAGCGAGAACGATTAAAAGATCGAAGAAAATGGATCGCAAAAAGACGCGACGCGGCCAATTGTTCTACCAAGGTAGAATGCTATCATTAACACACCCCGTTCTTCGTGAGCACGTCTCCACGTACGCTTCCACGTGGATCCCTCCCCAGGTGTTTATCTGGCGCAAATTAACGAGCGAACCGTTCCAGGAACGGAGAGAGGAGGAACGTTCAATTAATGGGGCCCGGAATATTCGTCCGGCTCTCCGCCATTCTGGTTTTTCAGGTTCTCGGCGTTTCATTCGGATTCGCCTCGACCAACGTCGAATTGATGCACGAGGCTCGCGTTTTATTTATTCGAAGGCGAATAAATAGCTCCGAGCCCCGTTTTTCCCCGCGATCTCGCAGCCCTCTTATCCGCCACGAGGCGGATGGATGGTTTTCGAGGTTGAGGGGCCGGTTGATTTGTTGCTTCGTGGTATTATCCGCGAGAATGATAGAAGTGCGAGTGGCCGATTCCGCCGCGTGATCGATGAAATCGGGATTTGTCTTAAACACGATTCTTCGAGACGTGTAAGAGCAAGTTTTATATTTCTCTTGAGAAATAGTTCGTTCGATCTTTAAAGTCTGTTAAATTTTTTTTTTTTTCTTTTTTAGAAATTTCGATGATCGTGGTGTTGCTCCTAGATCGCGATTGATTTCGATGAAGAAAGTTGTAAAATTTCTTTTCGACGAAATTTAATAAGATTGTCCGGTTTTAATTTTAAAAACGTTATTTTATTTTAATGGATACGTTTAGAAATTGAAGAATATATATATATATATATATAATATATGAATAATTGTTTAAATATATATCCTTATGAATAAAAATAAGGAAGATAATAGAAGAAAAAATTAAATTTATGTTATCTAATATTGATTCAATAATGATATTTTAAACCGTATATCATATTCTTTATATGATATTTTTTTTTTCAAAAAATAGAATTATTTTTATTAGTTATATTTTATTTTTATACCTATATTTTTAATTAAACTTTTTTTTACACGAATAAATGTGACAAAATATTCTGCATAAATACGTTATGTATGCAAGTGCAAATTATTCATGCACGAATGTTTGTACAGAGGTGTGCACGAGTATTTATATCGCGTTTGATTATTTTTCAAAATTGTAATAAATTATTCATACGGCAATTTTTTTTTATTTATCTCTCCATAATAAATTTTTATTATTATCGGCTACCTCACTATTTTTCACTAATTTTTCACTATCATTATCGTACAATCAAAACATCGATCGAAAATAAGTTCACAAAAAATTCCAAGCATCGTTCTTTCTTCTCTCTCTCTCTCTCTCTCACGGCCACGAATTACCTCACCATCGTCATCAAACATCGATACACACGGAATAATAACAGAATGAATGTAACGAATCGAGGACATAAATAACTCGAAAAATTATAAACATACGTATCATCGAAAAAGAGAAAAGAAAAGGATATACTTCTCCCTGGAAACGCTTAATATGTTCGTTAATTCGGTCACCGGGATATACAAAATTCCCGTGCAAAATCCGATACAAAATCGATATGGATAAGAATTTCGATATCGTCGAGTATCGATCAAAAAGGGAAAAAAAAAAAAAAAAANAAAAAAAAAAGAAAATTTAGTGACAAATTAACAAGGGAGGACGGGAAGCGAGAAAAGAGGAAGGAAGATAGCTCTGGCCCCGAGTAGTCGATGAAAAATGCACGCGTCGATAAGAATCGGCGGAGAGGGCCGTAATTACGAGAGCGAGCGATTTTTACGTGCGCGTGACATCTAATTAAAGTGATTGGCAAGTTTAACCGCTACGCCCGGAACCTTTATACAGCGGCCCGTGTATAATTTCACGAATCCCCTGCATTTATAAACATCAAAGTAATGATTACCAATTACGTAATTTTATGTGTTTTTCGCTGCCTTCGATTTACATGGAATGCAAAGTCCCTCCGGCTACGTCCTCCTCCTCCTCCCCCCTCTTCTCCCTCCTCTCGAAGGAGTCAGGTCCTCGGTGGCGAGGAAACCGGCCGTGCGCGCATCATCGTCCGCTTTGCTTCCCATTTGCATAACGATACGCATTACGAACGGACTAGCGTCGTAAAATCGAATTAATTAAGGGACATCAACCGTGCAGCCATCCCCCACCAAACTGTACACACCGTGGCCGTGTACACCGAAAACGAGGTGGCCGTGATTTACGCTCGCGGCCCGATCGAGTCGCGATTATGCCCCGATTCAATCTCCTCCTCGCTCGATCCTCCTCGTGAGACGCGATAAATGACACTTGCGCGTTGGGTGGTGTTCGGGCAATTAGCCGGGATGAAGGTTTCAATCTCTTTGCTCCTTTCTTCTTCTTCTTCTTCTTCTTCTTCTTCTTCCTCTTCCTTTTTTATTACGTAATAAACTTTGCGCATTCCTTTTTATTCCCTTTCTCCCTTTCTGCGAAATTCGAAGAGAAACTGGAATATCGAGATACATTTTCCGGTGAAAATGTTGGACCTATGGCCAGACTTAGATCGAGATAAAGCTAGTTCTTTCTCTCTCGCAGCAGGCAAGTTTTCACGCGAGGAGGAGGAGGAGGAGGAGGAGTAAAAGTCTCGGGCATGATAAAATTCTGTGAATCGCATCGATGCAAAACAGCAACGATTACGTCCGCGTGAGATTAATCGGGGGCCGAGGCGGTTTCTCCGGTCCGGTGAGAAGAGAAGCACACCTGTCTCGCAATATCGAGAGAACTCGGCGACACACGAAGAAATTCGAGTTTTTAAATTACGCAAATCCGCGTGTCGCAGCGATCCGTGACTTTTATCTCGTAGCAATATTCGTACACGGTGTACGAGAAGTAAGCGTCGCGGTTGTGATTCCGCGTCTCTCGAAGTCGAGAATTATTCGAAACATAAAAGGAAGCTCGAAAAAGAATCTGATCGAGCTCATTTTTCAGGTAAAAATTTTTTTTTTTAATAAAATAATCCACCGATCTAGGAACGTAGAATGATTTATCGTTCTTTTTTATACGCTCCGTACATCCGAGCGGAGAAAAATTTGTCGTGTACTCGTGTCACCGAATTTGATGTTACGGGTACAGGAGGCCATTTACTTTCAATTAATTTATATTTATACCGCTTGTTTAAATCCAGGTCACGGACGTGGATTTAACGTCTCGTGGACCGAAGAATCCGTCTATGAATTTGTAAAATGATGGAAGGAATATCGAAGGGTGACGATCTCTCTTTTTTTTATCGATTATGCCTGCAAGTTGCAACGAAATCTTTCGCGTTATATTATAATGGCGAACGCGATCCCTCTAAGTTTTCAAGAAACTCAAAACTGTTCTACTGCAATTTTAGGATTATTATTAATTATTTTAAAAATGAATTTTCGTCTACTTATCTAACTCCGATATCCTTCTACTTATCTAACTCCGATATGTGTGTTACTATACTGACACACGTTTATTAATGCAATTTCGAAGGCATTATATAACTGTATGCACTACATTACGTACGACTATTATTCCGAGTGTATTTGCAACAATTTCGTCAATTTATTTCCACTGTCTCTACGAGTTGCTGTTTCTACAAATTATTCTATAAAATTGAACATATTGAGAATCTTTTTATAGAACGATTACATACGAAGTAAGTGTAATTCAGTATTATTTTTACTCATCGAAATCAAATAGATATTGGTATCCATGAATTTCTTTTCATGCAACAATCGTTAAAGAAAATCGCGCGAGATCGATTTTTTGTTTTGCGATTGCATTTGCAAAAAGTTTGTGCACGAGATTTATAATAATGATTATAAAGAAACATAAAGACAAGGATTTATTTTACTCTCAATTTTATTCTCAAACGTAGAAATGAGAAATTGGAAAATAGATAAAAGATAAATAAGAGGTGAAACATCGTTATTTCTTTACTTGATTTTCTTTGTCAAATTTTTTAAAATTTCTTCAACTATTCAACTAATCAATCTTGTAATAGTTTTCTAAATTTTTATGTATACCATGAATCATGATAAGGTAATTTAGTAAAAAATATTTCTCTTTCTATTCTTTTTTAAATTTCCAAAAATTTCAGGCCTTTGTCTCATCACAAATCAAAATTATATCAAAAACATTTGATCAATTTTTGACTCGTGACTAGAAAAAAGATTTCTATCTTCAAAATAATTTGTGAAATTTTTGAAATTGATTTCGATTCGGCTCAAATATCGATAGATTCGTTCGTTGATTGAATTTCATTCAAAATCGTACAAAATTCGGTCAAAATTAAAAATAATTTAAGATATTATTTTATGAACTTGAACGATAACAACGTGAAAAATATTTTTGAAGGTAATTTATATTTTAAAGCAGAATATATCGATTATACGCACAAGAAAAAATTATATATAACGAATCGAAATAATATATTTGATAATGTATAGAATAATCTTTATCACAAAATCTTTATGAATTTTAATTAGGATACAAAAAAGTTATTATAACAAAAATTTTCAAGTGGTTTAATTTATAATAATTAAAAGAAAATGAAATGAAATAAATATATTTATAAATAACTTTATAGATCAAAGAAAAAATATTATATTCCATACTTCATTTTCTTTAAAATTAAATTTATGGAATTCACATAATGTTACACACTAGAAAAATATTTATTACTTTTTAGTAAATAATAAATATATATTTGTTTTTTTTTAAATTTACTGTAATTTGTTTTTACATTGAATGCATTTCATTTTATCAATAGATATAACAATATCTAAATACTTTTTATATCATTACTTGCAATATTCATAGCATTATTATATAAATTAACATATTATCTCAATAATTATTTCAATAATAATACACATTGACACACAATGACATTGAATTCGCTTTTTTTCTTTTTTTTTTTTTTAAATAAGATTAGATTAACCATCTAAGTGATCGGAGTTAAAATAATTTTATTTGAATAAGAAAAAAAAAAACGAAACGAAAAAAAATAATATTTAAATATTTCATTCATAAAGAAAAACATTGATTGAATAATAAATATACAATATCATATTCTTTATTGAATAAATATAGGAAAACATGGAATCGTGTATGAGGGACACTTGTTCGTCGTCATTGCAATCATCGCCAGCCTCCGTCTTTACTTTTTTTATACAAATGTTAATGGCGTCCCGTTGTAAACTGAACAATCCGAATGAATATCCCAGAGATCGCATAAAGGACATTTTAAGATCGAACATGGAATTCGATTTCGTGATCGCTGGTGGTGGAACCGCTGGAACTATTTTGGCTCGCAGATTAACGGAAGTGAAGGATTGGAAGGTTTTGTTAATCGAAAGAGGAGATTATCCTTTACCGGAAACCGCACCGCCTGCTTTCTTCCCAATAACTTGGGTATGTCACAGGATTATGCTTACAAGGTAAAAGTAATAAATTAATTTTAATAATTGTTTAAGATAAAAAAGAAGAGAGAGAGAGAGAGAGAGAGAGAGAGAGAGAGAGAGAGAGAGAGAGAGAGAGAGAGAGAGAGAGAGTATAGTA